ACGCGAGCAACAACCAATCACATGAATCTCTCCTGTCAATTGCATAAAAGGTTTTACATGTCACACTTTATATGATGAACATTGATGTCTATGGTGCTATTTTACACAACATTCCATGCTGGCTAAATACTGTCTATGCCTGCTAGCTGTCCATTCAAACAAAGTACACTGGATATAAAATCCCCAAACAGGCGAAAACCTACCAGTTTCACCNGCGAGCAACGCGACCAACACAATCACATGAATCTCTCCTGTCAATTGCATAAAGGATTTACACTTTATATGATGAAGATTTATGACATTAATGTCTATGGTGCTATTTGACACATTCCATGCTGGCTAAATACTGTCTATGCCTGCTAGCTTTCCATTCAAACGAAGTACACTGGATATAAAATCCCCAAACAGGCGAAAACCTACCAGTTTCACCCACTGTCTCTGCCACCTCCCTCCATGCCTGGTTCCTCCGGTTTGTATCCCGGTAGGTGAACAGGGACTGATCATAAAGCACCGGGTGATTCCCTACCGCTATGATTATTTTCTCCTCCATTTTTTGGCATATGAGGAAATGAACTGGGGTCTGGCTCTCCCAGCATACACGCAGTTTGATTGGCTAGCGCTTGTACTGGCAGATTTGCATAAATGGGATTTGATTGGCTGACGTCTCCATCGAGGCGGCAAAAGTAGAACATTGCTCTACTTTTGCAGCGAGCAACGCGAGAGAAGCTACGCTTTGCTCCCACAATGCAGTTCGGCGAATCGTGATGTCACCCCATTCAAAGTGAATGGGCAGAAGCGTTGAAGCTGCAACGCACGCCGCCGTGTGTAGGGGCCGTAAGGCTAAGTACTTTAAAATTCAATCCAACTTTAATACCTTTTTTAAATCTTCTCATAAAATAAACAAATATTTTTCAAGCTACGCCGAGGAGGTTATGTTTCCTGCTCGAGTTTTTGTGCACATCGGTATATCAGTAGGATTGCAGAAGAACTACTTGCCTAATTTTCTAGAAACCTGATGGAAGACGTTGCATGGCGGAGTAAAAACCAAAAACAAATTGGATGAGTGATTGGAATCATGGGGCGAATCATGAATTATCCTTCACTTCCATTAACACTGGGAGATAGGGCTTTTAGGCTGCATTCATTTGGTGTCTGAATAATTGGACAAATGAGTTCCCTCAGATTCATGTTAACGTCTCCTCAAATCAGAAAAATAACTAAGAAACAGACATCAATGGGACGTTAAAACGCTCCAAGCAATTACATACAACACATATTCTTTATAGCCTTACAACTTATTAAAGCCCCTGAAAACAAGGACACAAGTCGGAAACACATCCTCCAAACTCGGGACCACCTAAGAAGCATGTTGACGCACTATTGGCTACCGCTCAAGTTTGTACCTGAATGGGGTGTTGGAAGGCTCGAACAGGGCCTTGTGTCTGAGCAGGGCGGGACCAGGCGCCGTGGTTTCATCCTGGGGGGTGGTGGAGATGTACTTTGAAGGGGGGCCCCCGAAGATCTCCAGCCTTTTCTGCAGCACCTGCTCCCAGCGCTGCAGCGTCTTCAGCACAGCGTGACACAGAGGAGAGCACACAGGCAGGTCTGCGTCAAGTGGAAGCAAGAAGGCAATAAGATGAGCTCAGATAGGCGGGAGGCACTTAACCAAATCCTAGGACTTTGTACAGAAAAGTGTGTGTGCATGCTTATGTTTACCTAATAGATCATATCCTGCCATTGGGTAAAAGGTTTTGAGGTTGACCAACACCAGCTGAACCATTGCCAGACGCATCAAACACCAACTGAGAGGGGAAAGGAAACATTACAAACAAGATTACAATCTTGGACATGAATACTCTGACAGGGTTCAAAGCCCCTTGAAAACTGGAGGCATAAGAGTGTGTTCTGGCAGTGCCACTGAATAGAAAATCAAACACAAAAACAGCTGCGGGATTACAAAGGGCAGGTTGAATAGAGGTGAAGATGAGTCACTCTTTGCAGTAATATGCGCTCAGTGCCGTGTCGTTACCTGTATGAGTTGTGGTTTGAATGCTCTCTGTGCGGAGAGCTGGGGTCAAACACATCTTCATATTGATCATCATCTTCCTCTTCATCTTGACTGTCCTGGCTCTCCTCCGAGTCGTATTCAATTTGGTTCTCTGATTGTGGCAGTGAAGGCTAATAGACAGAAGAACATAAAACTAAAATTAAGATAGAGGCAAATGGTTTTGGCTAAATAAATGATCCAAAGAAAAGAAGAAATATGCTTCCTATCTTGCTGTTGCTTACCTGGTTTACTACTGGTCAGTTGTACAACATGTTAAAGGTCGATATGGTAGATACAAATTATAAACGCCCAGTCTATATAAATATTAATTATAACCAAAATACTGTCAAAATATAATGATGTTGTTAGACATTAACCACGTATTTGATTTATTTCGTAATAAAATATAATACACTCAGTGGATATGACACGGCCATGTTTTACTAGCTTTGGGGTTTTTTTCTCGATCTTCTTGGTTACCATGGTGATGAAGTAATCCCAAATGCTGAGCTCTGGAGGGATAAACCGTTCTTTAAAGATGGAGGTAGCTTCCTGTTCCACTACAGGGCTGTGCTTGGGACTGGATGGGCCCTCACGCTCTATCCCCAACTCGTCCTTGGATCCGCTGCGTGAGGACAGGAGTCTGAACCGTCTGGACTTCCTGTCTGAGCCGCTTGGTGAGGCTGGGGTGTCGAGAGAAAGGTTGTTTTTTTAATTTGCTGCATCTATGATTTTGGCTGCAATTCCACCTCTACCAACTTGTGCATTTACAAATGATATACAATACAAATAACAAGCCTACTTTCTTTCATGGCTTATGATAATGACATTAGCTTTAGATGTTGAAATGTAATCGTAAATATGTACAAGAAAAGTTTGTTGTAGACATTTGGTCAAATAGGCAGAAGGTATAGTAGGTTAGGTTTCCTGCCAACCATGAGAGAGTAGCACAGAGAGTGTGATGGAAACAGCTCCCACACCAATAGGTTAATGGATTTCACTTTGACCTACAGACAAGAACCCGATTAATTTAGCAGAACTGATTGGATTTAGCTGCTGGGTCACCTCCAGAAAAACCCTCACAGAGAGACAGTCACTAAGGAAGACTGTGAGAAGGAAAACTAGATCAGATCCTTTCCAACCTGGTGGCGGTGTTCTTGTGGGGCTGGTGGGTTTCTCTATGACAGGGGTCCGAGCGCCTCCTCCGAACACTGACACCCAAAGCTGGCTGTTGAGAGGGTGGGCCACGATGCGGAACAGCTCGTTGCTTGAGTGAGTGGCCATGCCGTGAACAAATAGACTGAGGAAGACAGCAGTCACGATCTCACAGAGCAGCACAGCTAAGCCTGGCTGGCTCTCCTCGCCTGCCGAGCTCAACAGGCGAATCAGGGAGGCGATACCTGGAGAGAAGCAAGGGAGGCGGAGCAGTGGGGAAGGAGAAGGAACAGCTTTTAATAAATACTTTCAATGGGTAAACAAAAAATACTGCATTATTTAAAAATAGCTGACCAAAGATATTGAGCCAACTAAATTAAATATCCAATGCACAAAGATGCAAAAAACGTAAACAAAACCCAATTTGCCTGTAAAATGAGGGAAAGCAGAATGTAAAGCCAAATATGTCCACTTATTGATCAATTCCTTAAAAGGATTATTCAAAAGAGAAGGCTTTTGATTTAGTTTCAGTAGCCAGACAAAAACCAGCAAACAAAGGGACACAGTTGTTTTTTATATGTATATAAATATGTTAAAATGTGCAATATCCCAAACATTTTCATTAATACTTTAGCAAAAAAAGCTGATAATACTAATGTTTTCCTTTTGCAAACCAATGCCATAAAAAGGTAAAAGACAACAATGAATTGATCTTTCTAACAGGCGTGAGCCACATCGCTGCACTGGGTGGCATCTTCATTTATTAGCACGAACATAAGCAGTGTCGTTTATTTGATCAATCCAAAATACACCATCTTGCTGCTGTACACTCAAACTTCTCGTCTGCAAACGCAATGTGTGCTCATGTTCTCAAAACAACCGCTTGTTTAAGATAATATTAAGCCTTTTTTAAATGTTCTTATTATCAAACTTTACATATTCACTATAAATGGCAGTTATTACATTACATTACATTTAGCTGACGCTTTTACCCAAAGCGACTTACAATAAGTGCATTCGACCAGGAAGATACAACCTTGAAGAAAACAGAATCATATAATTACATCAGGTTTCATAGAGCCAAACATTTCAAGTGCTACTCAACTGGCTTTAGATCAGCCAGTCCTTTGTTAGTATATAAGTGCTTTGTTAGTAATTCTATCGCTCGAAGTGGAGTCGAAAGAGATGAGTTTTCAGTCTGCGCCGGAAGATGTGCAAGCTATCTGCTGTCCTGATTTCAATGGGGAGCTCATTCCGCCATTTTGGAGCCAGGATAGCAAACCCACGTGTTTTTGCTGATGGGAACTTGGGTCCCCCTCGCAGTGCGGGTGCAGCGAGCTGTTTGGCTGATGCAGAGCGGAGTGCACGTGCTGTGGTGTACGGTTTAACACTGTCCTGGATGTTAGGAGGGATCCAGATCCCATCGCCAGTATATAGGGGGTTAATAGTACGTTACTGAGCAGTTTGGTGACGTGNAAACCAGGGGCTGGTTCCTTTGGGAAACCCCACACTGCCAGTCTCACGGCCCCTACAAACGGCGGCGTGCGTTGTCGCTTGCCGGCAGGGGGGGCTGAAACTCGACCAACAACCAATCACATGAATCTCCAGCCCCAGACACACAAGCACGCGGTTTGATTGGCTAGAGCTTGTACTGGCATATGATTCGATTGGCTGACGCCTCCGTCGAGGCAGCAAAAGTAGAACATTGCTCTACTTTTGCAGCGAGAGGCGGGAGAAGCTACGCTTTGCTCCCACAATGCAGTTCGGCGAATCGTGATGTCACCCCATTCAAAGTGAATGGGCAGAAGCATTGAAGCGGCAACGCACGCACGAGTCCAACTCATCTTCAAAGGTTATTGTCAGAGGTGGGAAGTAGTGGAGTACAAATACTTCGTTACTGTACTTAAGTACATTTTTCTGGTATCAGTACTTTACTCCACGACAACTTTTTACTTTGACTTCTTACATGTTGAACCCAAATACCTGTACTTTCTACTTCTTACATGTTGAACACAAATACCTGTACTTTCTACTTCTTACATGTTGAACACAAATACCTGTACTTTCTACTTCTTACATGTTGAACACAAATACCTGTACTTTCTACTTCTTACATGTTGAACACAAATACCTGTACTTTCTACTTCTTACATGTTGAACACAAATACCTGTACTTTCTACTTCTTACATGTTGAACTCAAATACCTGTACTTTCTACTTCTTACATGTTGAACACAAATACCTGTACTTTCTACTTCTTACATGTTGAACTCAAATACCTGTACTTTCTACTTCTCTCATTTTCCAAACAGGCTGGTTCCTTTAGTCTGAATGTGTGTTTGGTGGCGTGATCATTATTATTTAGAGTCATTGCGTGCCTATTGATTTGAACACGATCCGTGTATCCATCATTTCCTGGTCTTCTCTAAAGAAGAGGGACCAATGAAAACGTTGTCATGTTGCCGTTGTTCAGCATGGAAACATTCATTAGCTANATGACGACTCCCCGCTGGGTTCAAATGGTAGTACAGTTAATTTGTAGCACCCCAACGATAGGACCGGAGGTTTTACCGCTTACTCGAGGGTACTAGTCCTCGGCGTCTCATCGAACGTGTAGAAGGCGCGTCTGACTTTTGAGTAGAGAAAGCTGCAGGTGGAAGCTCGCTATCTTGGAATGAGTGTATAATCAGTGAATAAATAATGATTGTTACTCCTAAGACCAAGACAAATAAGATTTCGGTCAACTCATCGTGAAAACTTATAAAAAACAACGAAGATCTTACTGGACTAACAAATATAAAATACTACTAAACAAAGAAGTCAACATCAGAGCCGACCTAGCTTCTGATATAGACTATTCAGCGAAACCTCCATTTTCGGCAGCCCAGATGTGACGAGCGAGTTAGCATTACTATGACGGTAAATAGTCACCTTAACATTTGCGCGAGGCGAGAGGAGTTTTTCCGAATGTAAAAAAATGAATAGACATTTTGTTCCGCCAACAACCTTGTCAGTCGGGTGTAACGCCAAACGTCTGCTTCTTCAAACACATCCACATGTCGTCCCGTTACTACCAACAATGAAACTAAACTAGTATAATAATTAGCTGGGGTGAACGAATACAAGACCAAGATACTATTTTACTTATCGGTGGGTCAACGTCGCTACACGAGTGCCAAACAGAGAACAGCAAAAAACAAGAGAAGGAGGACACTCTGATTCTAGCATGTATAAGTAAGACACAGGAAAATGGAAAATACCTACCAAAACGCTCTTCCTCTACTATGATAATCATAATAAACGTCGAAAATCGATTTCAATATTCTTATACAAACCTATACTGTGTAAATATCGTATTCAAACAATAAAAAAGTAATGTATATTTTTTGTTGACACAGGGACAAACGACCAAAAGTGCAGCGAGCTGTTTGGCTGATGCAGAGCGGAGTGCACGTGCTGTGGTGTACGGTTTAACCATGTCCTGGATGTAGGAAGTGCCAGATCCATTCGCAGTTATAAGGGGGTTAATAGTACTACTGACAGTTGGACGAATACATTGTTCGTTTGGGTCTTCTACTTGTTTAAGATAGAGAAATATGCTTTTCTCTTTTAATGCTGGTTAAACTGAGGTTAGTGTTGGCTGAATTACCTGGCCACTGTGCGGGGGGGGTGTTGGGCTGAACGGACTCGTCCATGCTGACGGTTCGGGCAGGCTGCTTCTGAGATAGCAAAACACTCTGATACACGATTCCTGTGAAGTGGTTCACATGGCTGAGGGAGACAAAAGAAAGCAAGCACACAAGACAGTATGAGGACACATATTAAACATTCAAGGTTTGACTGAAAAGTGGAATTTCAAATATGTATTTTAGTGGTGTAAATATATAAAACGTCTAAAAGTTTTAACTTTGATCTGAATTCAGAGATGATGTTTTCAAAGTTAGAGTCAACAAGCTCTGTTCTGTCAAGATATGAAATACTAATGGCTTTATCTCCGGCTAGCGACCCATCTATGCTGTTTGGTGGTAGAGAAGAAAAAGCTTTCTGATGACGGAAGATTCAGTACTCAATTTCTCACGTCAAGTTGCTTTTCAACTAGTGCACACACAAAAACCTTGGATTCTTGCAGAAGAAATACAACAGGGAATATGGGATGTATAACACGGCAGGGAGTCTATTAAAGGTGGGGTATGTCATTTATTTCAGAAACACTTTTTGTTATATTCCATGGAATGCTCTTAACATCCCGATAGCAATGAATATCTTAAATGCTTTGACAAAAAATACATTAAAAAAATGTCATCTGTGGAAGCCGTGGCGCTGTAAAAAGCACGACCGATCATCTGAGCCGGCCCGGCTAAAATAACTGGATGGCCTACCTGCCTGTCAGCCTTCCATCTCGTGCCCTCATTGGTCATGTGCGCGTTCGTGTGTGTTGGAGGAGGGGCTCTGTGAGGAAGTCTGAAGGAAGGGGCAGATTTCTTTCGGTTGTTTATTTTCAAATTCTAGCGCATTCGAGCTGTTCTCCATTCTTACCTACCCCACCTTTAAGTTTTCAACATCCAATAAATCCACTTTAAGCCTCTGCTAAAAAACATCAACCGTAGACTCCACATCGAAAAGAATCTAAAAGACCAAGGGAACTTTATTCAGAAGAAGTGGTCCAGAGTCTGTCTGGATTTCTCAGAACAAAATTTGAATAAAAAATTATTGTATGATGCAACAGAAAGCACAGCAAATGTACAGTCACAGTATCCTCTATATCTATATACTGTGATATAGAAGTACCAACACAATTAAACTGAATTAACATGTAAACCGACAGTAAAGAGCATGACATGTATCAAAACACTGCCAACGTGGTGGAAACTCTATTCTAAACCATAGCAACCTATGTCCTGAAATACTTTTTCAAAAATCACACACTCTTATCCCTGTGTCTCTCTTGCACACCCAAGAGAAAGACACAGAAGCACAAGTTCAGCAATCCACTGCGTTTTTTTTGCTGAAAGAATAATGAATGTTTTCTCTAAAAACTGTCTTTCTTACACATGTTTTAATCCATACAAGCAAAACTATCTCTGGGGTCAAAACACTGTTGCTTTAAAGGTCCCAGTCTGGTCAAGCATAAATAAAAATGATTGGTACAACATCAAACAGTCTGGCAGAAGCATGACAGGAAGTCACACAGCAGCACAGCTGTAATACAAACACACGCAACCACCCATCCAAAGTTAAGATCCCACTGGGTTTTTGTCAAAGTGATTGGAGTTTATAGTACATACACGTCTTTAACAAACATCTAATTAAAATGTACAATAAGGGTGACAAACAACACCCTTGGGAATATCATTAATCATTTTCAACACGATCACATCAGACAAGTGACCAACATGTTCTTCTCTATCAATGTCCTAAATCACACCACCATAGCACTTTGTAAAGCAGCCTAGGGCATGTGCTGAGACGCTGAGACGTTTTCCATAAACAAAGTCATCTTGAAAAGCCTTTTCTACTTTATTATATTTGTAATGTTTGACTTAAGATGTGTGCATTTTCTTTTAGTTTGGTTACCAGTAGACACGTCCCTTCCCCCTTTTCTCTTATTATTCTGCTCCAATAAGTTTAAACACAGACACATACACACAGACGCACACACACGTACACACACAGACCAACACGAGGGTGCAAATCAACATAATTTTGTCTTTCAAATGCTAATGCGAAGAATAGGAAAGTCAGATCACTCTTGATAAATAATCCAGTGTCTATAGAGCTGTTATGGGGTTGTATCAAGGTGAATGTGGCGGGAAATTAAAAAAGAATGTATCAAAGTAATCATCACTTAGGTCATATAAAGAATTCAAGAAGCTTGGTCGGAGAGAAGCTATGAAGAAGATGCACATTTTGAACTCAATCAGGCTAAATGAGACACTGGGTTCATGGGATAGGCAAAAATATGTTCCCTTAAATGTGCAAAATAAGTAGATGGCTCAAGGGTTAATGATGCAATAAAGTTCACTATGAAGCTGCAGATGTACCCCCTCCTCCCTGTGACATGACAGCCCAGATGCTCAATATCTTAATATCCCAGCTTGGGACACTAACCTGTGGGTGTGTCCATCACACAGACACTGATAGATACAGGCGGACAGGGAGGCAGCCAATGTGTGCATCACGTAGATCTGAAATAAAGGGAAATCCAACGCATTAAATAAAGTTTTAAGTACACAAAAAGTCAATTAAACACACAAACATTTAAAAAGAACCCTGAAATGTACCTTTTACAGTTGACAATTTAATTTTGTGGCCATGTTTCCTCAAAACCTCCAACATATGTTTCATATCTGTACTGCAGATTATTATTAGTTAGTAGCCAACATATACTGTATGATGACACCCATATATCTGCAATACGCTTATATTATCCATCCTTACCTCATTGTTGACAACATCAGGGTGTGGAGGAGAGTCCAGTGAATTGATGGTCTGTAAGATGTCATGAGCCAGGTTGGTCAGGTAGACGATGGGATTGGCCACCACCGTCTTTACGTTTGCCGTGCAGGCCATCAGGAGGGGGATGGATGTTGGTTGGCAACATGGCATCACCGCTTGCAGGGAGTCATCCTGTGGGGGGGAATCAGAGTGTAAGGTGTCTACAGGTACACTAATACAAATGCTAGTTTTGACAATGTAGATTATGTGCAACAACAACAAATATTTAAGTGTTCACAATGAAGACTCATAGCACCTATGCAAAGGGATAACTGCATAACCACAAGTCACCCTCACATCACAGTTAGCCTTAAAAGTAAGAGCAGATATCTCAACTTGATCAATCCTTTTTTTACAGGGTAAAAGAGACAGCTCTCAAAGGGACCGGGGATAAAAGAGGTGATGCTTTGATCTGTGAAACAAAAGCCTGTTCCTGAGACAGAACAAGTCATAGAACATCTAATACTGAGAGAGTTCTATGACGTGTTTTCCAGTGCTTGTGTGAATGACATTTAAAGACCTAAAAAGAAGAGATAGCAACGATGGGGTGCCTGGTTTTGTCTGCGTTTACTCCATCCCTGAACATGACTCTCTGTGTGCAAGAATACCACAGGCTTATGCTCGTCACGCTTGATGAATCACATTCAGTTGTCACTAACCTTCCCAAACAGAAGCTCTACAGACCGAGTGAAGTTTAACCAAAAAGAAAAACTCTGACATTTCCTCGACAACAATAGAGAAACTTGACAGCCAATGGGACCAGAGCTGGGACAACAACTGCTTTGATATCAGAATCAAAGGAAGAGTAGACAGAACTCCCATTGCTAGTTGACGGTTCGTTCATTCAAGAGAGTTGTTTACCTCCTGAAATTTGACTCTTCGATAAGTAAGCCTAAGGTAAGGTCTCCCTCAGGAGCTCGGAGAATCAGCACAACCTGCCAGCCCAGTACTCTCAGACTATCGCCAGTGCACGATGAGTGGGTCTGAGTGAGTAAGTGTGCGTTTCAGATGGTTTCATGTTCGTCTTTCTCTGACCTGTTCGAAAATACTGCAGGTCTGCTTTCCAGTGTAAATGTGTTTACATGCTGCTCATTGGTTTGGGTGTTTCAAAACGTTTTTTTAACATCTGTCGAGTCAGGTATGTTCAGACCAACTGACTTATAAGATTTGGTGAGGCTGCACAACCTTTATTAAGGAGAATCAGGCATGCTGTAAATGTATAACTGATCAGCCTCTTAAATTTACTTGGAAAATATTTTGTGATATTGTCTGTCCCTTTTATTCAGAGATATTTCATTCTTTATGATATGTTAAAAGATACAAAAATAAAAGCAGACCAGGAAAGGATTTCCGAATGTTATAGGGACTTGGCTTGGCAACTGGAAGGTCACCAGTTCAAGTCCCGGCAAGACCAAGTGCTACCGAGGTGTCCCTGAGCAAGGCACCGTTCCCTACACTGCTCCCCGGGCGCCGTTCATAATGGCAGTAGTATACAGTAAGTATACAAAAAAAATAAAGAATACCATATTAAGTGACTTATCGATGAAGAGACTACCGTAATTTTCGGACTATAAACCGCGCCTTTTTCCCCATTTTTCGACCCTGCGGCTTATATAACGGTGCGGCTAATCTATGGATTTTTACAGCTAACGGCCACCAGGGGACCTCCTAAATCTATGGATTTTACAGGTTACAGTCCACCACCTTTAACTCTATGGGCTCTATGGCCGGTCCGCGCCCCCCACCTTTAAGCGGCGGGCTCCAGCAGGAAAAGCTGGAGGCCGGAAAAGAGTGAGACAGGTAGCGCGCAAAAGTAAAAGTGAAACCGAGAGTGGTACGAGAGACAGAACGAGAGCAAGACAGACATACATTACGAGAGCGAGACAGTTTGTCCCCGTACCACTGGTTGAAAACCACTGCTGTAGATCACTGCCGGTACGTGCGCTGGGAGACGTGCGCTGGGAGTTTGAAAGTTGAAAAGTTTGTGTGTCTGAAACGCTATGTGATACAGTACAGTTTACACAGCACAGTACATGTTCTGTAGCTACTATTGCACTAAATGGTAACACTTGAATACGTTATGCAAATATGCAACTTGTTTGTTGAAATGTTAATAAATGGGAGCTTCCTCAAACAGCCATCTCTTTCCCGACAATCCCCTCTGTGCACGAACCCTTACATATGGTAATTAAACATTAAAACACCTGCGGCTTATAGTCCAGTGCGGCTTATATATGTACACATCATTCAATTTAGCTGCTGCGGCTTATATTCAGGTGCGCCTTATAGTCCGAAAATTACGGTAATTGTTTTATCCATTTCATCAGCAACTTAATTTATTACAGTGACATCAACGACAGAGCCGTACTAACTTTAGCCCCTCAAAAGCGTCTGTCAGCAGCTGCTAGTTTGCATTTTTATTTGTAATTACCTGGTGAGACTCTTGAAGCAACAGAATGAGCTCCATGCGCACAGAGGCCAGTCCTCCTCCGTGGGAGCCATGTAAACTGCAGTAGCTCAGAAACATCCTCAGTAGGGGCTGGTTGCTCTGCAGCCAGTGCCACCTGCTCCTCTGGATGTCAGCACGAGGGCTCCCCGGCTGGAAAATGTTTACTTTATTAGTTTCATAGTCAGATTTATCAACACCAACATAAATAAGCCAAAGTCTTCCAGCTGACAACACAGACCTTAATGTGTTCTGTCAACAATGAATAAAGTAGCAGGTCTATGACATGTATTTAAATACATAGTTAGAATTGAATGTTAATCCATTTATAATTCGATTTGCTCTTCAAACTGAAATAGAAGAAAATGTTCTGCAGCAGTTGAGATATCCAAGGTCAACAGTGCAACAATCTTTTCAATTTACAATGTTTCAAACTGTGTCAAGACAAACTGTTCCGTTGTGTTGCATTGATTTTTGTCATGAACATCGGGCAAATCTATAAGCCTCCACTATGAACACCCACCTGTTCCTCCTCGCCCAGCCCGGAGACAGACAGCTCTGGCAAGCAGGGCTTGTAGCTGCAGCAGCGCTGGAGAGCCACGACCTGGGTTAGAAAGATACAAAATATATATTGGGGTCAATTTGTCCTGCATATGTTGGAGAGAAAGACAAAACGTTTTACCACATTGCAAACAGAAGAAATTCACAAGAGAAACTCTCTAGAATTATCATCAATATGATGTTTATATGTACCGACAGAGAGATCAGATCTTAAAACAATGAACTTAAAGATAAGAGAGATCTGTGTGAATATCACTTTTTGGACCAACTGAATTTCCTCCAATTGTTGCAAACCACTGAGAAAACAAACAGTCAACAACAGAGACATAGATGAGAGGCAAACAGCTGTTTATATGCTTCTCTCCCTGCTGATTTTATACCGTTCATAAATTAAACAAATATTAAGAACTGTTGGTGCTACATGAATGCGAGTGCTCGGATTAATAAATATAATATGTGGTTTTAACTTAAATATTATGGAGTTGACCTTTTAGTATGTTTAAGTGTTTAATCATGTGTGTGCCATTACCTCTCTCTCTAGCCACTGGTAGAGCTGGTAACGTAGCTTCCCTCCATCCAGTTCATAGCCCGTGGACAGTGTCCGCAGCTCATTGGTCATGATCTTCAGGCAGGCGGTAAACTTCAGATGGGCCGCCAAGATGTCATTAGAAGGAGCGAGGAAGTCATCCTCACTCTCCTCTCCTGGCACAGTCTCCATGAGCGGCGACATGGCATCCTGCGCATCCTGAAACACACTGCTGCCGTCTTCAGTTCTGCCACTCTTACCATTTTTTGTTTCTTCTTCATCCTCATCTTCTTCATCATCTTTGTCACTCTCCCATTTCAGCTCCAGGGTTTCATCAGGATGTGTCATCGACGGCTGGCCGGTCCAGTCAAAACTCAACACTGAATCTGAGTGGCTGTTGCACAAGCTGTTCCTGTCTGACTCGTAGCCGTTCAGAGCCGACTGAGACCAGTCCTGCTCTGAACCTTGTCCATCTTTGCTCCCAACGCTGAGTTCAGCCGCGATGCCTGCACCCTCATGGTGTGGGAGTTTGGAATGCTTGCGGACTTTGGGCATCTTGGAGAGGACTTCAAGTGCCAGCATGGGGCACCCAGCCTGAAGGTGTGCGTAAGCAGCTGTGAAAAACAGTCTCCTCTCCTCCAGGCTGATGGAGTCTGCCCTGCGGCGCTCAGCGGTCAGTCCAACTTTAGCCTTCTCCGAGGAGCCAAAGTGGCGGCGAAGGAGGAGTGGGTGGGTTCGAAGGTAGGTGTAAAAGTTGAAAACCTCAGGGTTACAGACAGACACTGAAGAGGAGCCTAAAGTACCAGCAAAAACAAGCTGTGTTTTAGTTCGAGACAGAAATTGAGCTGTATTTTCATTGAACTTCTCAACAAATTGAGGCATCCAACCATGTAAGCACTTAAACACTGAAAAACTGCCCTCTGTGTTTACTTAAAGCCTGGTAAAGAGTGGAGATACTAGTTCAAAAACAGTCATCTTATTGAGAGCCGCTGACTGACAAAAACCATGTCTGTATGACTCATACTGAAAACAAGCAAGGACCGCACCTAATCCCTAAAGTATAGGAGCCATTTCAATTTAAGCCAGTGTTTCCTGCTCTGTAAGTTTATAAGAATGGGCTTTGAGAACTTCATTAATGAAACACATGTACCACAGAGATTCCACGGGGTCCGTCTGCACCGCGGCGACCCGGTGGAATACAGGGGCGGACTGGCCATCTGTGTGTTCTGGAGAATCACAGACCGGCCGGCACCGCCCTTCATTTTTTTTAAAACGGCATCATGTAAGTTGCGCTGACAGGCGACAGAGGTCCACAGCTTGGAAAATTGAGCATTCAAATATCTTAAAGGCTTCAGGGAGTACACACTACATCGACTCTAAGATTTCGATATTTGAAACTGTCAGATTCTACTAAAAATTATTTTCTTTTTCTCTTCCATATAAGGTATTTCAACGCATTTTTTTGAGTATTAGATAAAGAGTGAAACTTTAGCATAATAAGAACAAAACACACGTTTATATTTGCTTTGAAGAGCCCCATTCTACCTTCCTCATTACCGTAATTTTCGGACTACAAGGCGCATCTGAATATAAGCCGCAGCAGCGGCATACCACTCTCGGTTCCACTTTTACTTTTGCGCGCTACCTGTCTCACTCTTTTCCGGCCTCCAGCTTTTCCTGCTGGAACCCGCCGCTTAAAGGTGGGGGTCCGCGGACCGGCCATAGAGCCCATAGAGTTAAAAGTGTTGGCCGTTAGCTGTAAAAATCCATAGATTAGCCGCACCGTTATATAAACCGCAGCGTCGAAAAATAGGGAAAAAGGCACGGCTTATAGTCCGAAAATTACGGTATACATTTGAATGGAGTGGAGGAATAATAAAAGCAGAGCACTGCGGACCTACCGGTGTCACATTTGCTTTCCGTGGACTGGGAGCTGGTTCTGTCAGCAGGCTGCTCGAGGAGAGTGTCCAACGCTCTGCTGTAGTCCTCCAGGACCCAGTGAGCCATGCTACGCACGAACGGATCCTTCTGGGCGGGAATCTGACATTTGGGGAGAATTACAATGGCTCATTATGGTTTCTGCTGTTCGTTAATTAGCAAAATGCTGGAGAGTCAAACAACAGTGTACAGTTTAATGAAGATGTGCAGTAAAAACACAAGCTTCAGGAGGATGTACACAAACCTGCTTGTCTTGTCCCAGAACATTTCTCCGGAGGATCTTTTTGTAGGTGGATGCTGTTTCAAACTCGGACTCATACAATCTGGAGATCACCAGTGCAAGCTGTAGGTCCTGCATTTTCTCTATACACACCTGGAGGAGAAGAAAAAGCATTTCTTCACTGACTGTTCTCATTTCAAAAAAGCTTTCCGAGCATTTGACACAGGCCTGAATTGTGTGAGATAAGCAGACAATTAATGTATATTCAGGACAAAGAAGGAATAATTAATATTAGAAGGTAAAGCTTTCTGGTTTGTTTATCTGTAGAAAAAGAAAGAAAATAAGCAAAAAATAATGCTAGAAATAAAGTCTCAGCGCAATGCAAAGAGTTAATAGCTGAAGTTGTTGTTGTTGTTGCTCCCAACTGGTGAGGTGTGAGCTGCATTTTAATGAGACTACCTCCCATCCACGGAGTCAAAGTCAATGATAGCCCTTTACCTGGGTGACACTCATTTACATAAAATGCTCAGAGAAGCTCCAGTAACTCACACAAATTAAATAATGTGACTCATTGCTTCAGGGATGTTCAAAAGAGAAATGTCCTTAGATAAACTAAGGGCTAAGCCAGGGGTCGGCAACCCGCGGCCCTCGGGCCACATGCGGCCCTTTAAGCCCTCTGCTCTGGCTCCCTTGAGTTTAGACAAAAAATAAGAAGGAAATAAAAATAAAAGTATTTGTAGGACTATTTATATTTTGTTGCATGGTTGAAAATGTTTCGTATCTTGTATTTTGAGGTGATACTGTGACACATAAATAAAAAACTAAACGGTTTTAATTAGGTCAACTAAAATATGCGTCACATCCTGCTACGGTCCCGCGCGAGCCCTTTTCTTGGAGGTGAATAACCTGACCCCCGGCTCGATGAGCGAACTATGGATAAATCAAAGTAAAGTCCCGGAGGAACACAGGATTTAATTCTGTGTGGACAGAGTTATATGCTTTCACAGCAAACGATGCTGGTTTACCGGTATGTTTGATATCTAGAGAGAAGTTGTCAACGGTGCTGCAGCTTTTAAGTATCGAGGAACAACACGGGAGAGGAAGACCGCTGATGATCTTCAGTCATAATTCAATGGGGTATGTAATTTATTTCAGAAAACACTTTTTGTTATATTCCATGGAATGCTCTTAACGTNCCCCTGCGGCTCCGTTAGCTCCGGCGGCCACCACTGGGATAATTGGGTCCCCTATTAACATTTGCTCCCGTTTAGCATTATGGGCTCTAGAGGGCCATAGACTATAAAAGTCTTACCCAAGGCTGAATCATAAACTAAAATGTATATGTATGTATAAAGGTGAGGCATGTACATGTCCATCAAAGTGACCACGCCCTAATTTATGCAAAAACTTTAAGACCTGATATAAATAAAAGGGTCGTGTTAGAAAACAATTATATCGATAATAATAGGCCTATGTATTGCATCCATGGGTAGAAACATGTTTTTTTCTGCTGTAATGTTGGGCATTTTAACATGGGGGTCTATGGAAATTGCTCCTTTCTGCAGTCAGTCCCTAGCGGCCCATGTATGAACTGCAGTGTGTTGCACTTCCGTATTGGCGTCCCGGCTGTTCCTCAGAGTTTGCCGCTTGATCATGACGGAAATGTTACGATCCTGTCCGTCAAAATGACTGACAACGAAAAAGTCGAAAGCCACCAGTGCTTGGGAGAAATAAACGATGTGATATTGGGGTCCATTTTCGCTACAATGAGGCGGAGATAAAAAGTGAATGCATTGTTTTATCAGAAGGGAAGCAATGTGGCCATAACACAGCTAGTAAAAACACCACAAACCTGACCAGATGCTCTCTGCAAAGCTGCATTCTTAATCATTCAACTTGTGTTTTTTATCAAATAAGGACAATATATAATCTTATTGTGAAATAAGTTTGACTAAAAGGACAAATTACTGGTTTCGGCTAGACTAGTTGGACTGAAATGTTCTATATAATCTGATGACTAAAAAAGATTCAACAGTTTTCATTGACAAAAAGTAGACTAAAATAATTATTTTTCTTTGACTAAAATAAGACTAAAATGCTCAGACCTTTAGTCGACTAAAACTTGACTAAATAAAAACAGGATGAAGGTGACTAAATATGACTAAAACTAAAAAGGAAATTTAACACAGGACTAAAACTAAATAAAAAAAGTAGCTGACGAAATCAACACTACTGTCAACAAATCAGATTTTCAGCACATAACAGCTCTTAGAAGTCACAATACATAACACTTGTTTATTAATCCTCTAACTTGAATAACACATTTTCTCCACAGTCACATTTTCAAGAATCATTGCACGCCTCCTTTCATCGCGATGTCCCCCAGCCCTCTTTGACGAGCTGCCTGCCTCACAACCAGAGCCGACACTACAACCACAAGAGGAGCAGCAGCAACATGCCCCACGCCAACGCGCTCTGCCACTTCCACATCGCTGCCAGCATCAACCCTGCTACAGGTTAGACTCGCACACACAGACATTAGTATCTTTAACTCGATTGTATTTCAAGCCACAAGATGGTAGAAAGTACTCCCTAAAGAAAAGGACACCACAAAAAGTATTGAACCATATTATGTATTCACAAACCCCTGAGACTGCATAGATGGTTAACTCTGCTTGAATACAATCAGCTGGAGGTCAGAGGGCTTCAACTTTTTATTTCATATGGCAAGAAATGGTGTAAACTTTTTGCATTGCCTGAGGTTGTTTATTTAACATCCCAGTGAGTTTTTCTGTTCAGCTACAGCTGCTCAGACTTAATGTTAAGTGTTTCCCCCTCTCTGATTTTGCATGGCACTTTATTTAGACCTGAAGCCTTTGTGCCTTGAGGCTGAGAAGTGCTGTAGAATAGGATTTGAATGCTTGAATGATATATTACCAAACTTCAAATGATATACTCATCATTACATTTAATTTGCTACAACAGATACATTTGTGCCTGCATGCCCCCTATGTAATGTAATGTAAATGTATGTAATACTTTGCTTTTTTTTCTCCAAACGTTGTAACCTCTTTATCACAGACATTCCTCTGCTGCCCTCCATCTCCTCTCTGAGTGCCGCCGATGATGAAGAACCTGGAGGCCCTTTTACTGTCCACTGGCTCAACAACAAGGAGCTCCATTTCACTTTAGCTATGGAGGTCTTCCTACAGCAGCTCCAAGGCAGCCTGGAGCAACAGAACGAATGCTCCAACGAAGGTACATAATATAAGGATCAAACATTTGTTTGAAGGGGTGTGCAAATGAAAATGTAATAACACTACAGTTTTATACTCGACATGAGATCGACAATATGATTTGTTTAAGCTGATACCGATAACCAATCCATTACCTGCTCTGCTTCCCATGGCTGATAAAGACAACCAATACATTTACATTTGTTAGGCCTATAGTTTTCTCTACTGAATTTTCAGGATTTACATTATGATTTGTATCTCTTCCAGAGCCTGAGGATGAGGAGAACTGTGATGAAGATAATGGAAGCAGGCCAGGCGACTCCCAGGAACCTGAGGCTGTGGAGCTCCCCCTGGCAGCGGTGAAGCACCAGGTGAACGTGCTGCTGGAGGAGTGGAACAAAGGGGCGGACATGTTGTTCAGCATCCATCCCATGGACGGCTCTCTGTTGGTGTGGCATGTGGACTGGTTGGATGAATATCAGCCAGGCATGTACAGACAAGCTCAGGTACGTTCACTGCTGCTGATGTGGTTTAACTTTATGTAAAGAAACGATGGTTTTAAGAACATAGTGCCTCACCTTTAACCGTTTTTAGATCCAAATAAACACACTCTTTGTCCTAGTTTGAATGGTCACACTTTAAAGATTTCAACTGGAAACTGTTATAAAGTCATTGAATAAACTCTGAGCAGACCTTGGTCACTCGTGGTTGTATTCACAATTGAAGCGCTTCTGGGGGAAATAATGAATTTATCTTCTCAATAAGGCTGTGAATCATTTGACATCTGTGATTTCTTCTTTTAATGGTTTCTCCTTCAACTGAGGAGACGTATTCTAATGATGTGCTACTTTATATCATATTCAAAAGTCCCAGGATGCATTTCTATTAGTGGTGAAATAATGAGTTCCTCGTGACAAGGCACCGAGGGAGTCAGGCGAGGCAGCTAAACGAATCCCTGGTTTCATTGACATTCCATTTGATTAGGCCTGGCTGCTTGAGTTAGATACAACGCTATTATTTATGTTACATCTGAAGAGAAAACAAAGAAGGCTGTTTCCCTCAAGTCTCCATCACTGTCTTAGTGACTGAATTCATTTTTGAAAGACAGTTGTCACTCAGCTTCTGAATGTGTTAGTTAGTTAGTTAAATGAGTTCTGTAGCTTCAGTGCCATCTGGGTCATTACCACAGTTACACAGGACCTTAATATAAGCTCATATTGAACGCTTCTTTAAGCTCTAATATAATAAGTTGATTGAATGAGCCATTCCTATCATTAAATCCGGAGCCTTATGTTTAATTTACTCTAAATGAGATGCTATCTTGTCTCCTTTCTCTCTCAGGTTTCCTTTGTGTCCCGTATCCCTGTGGCGTTCCCTACAGGTGATGCCATCTCCTTGAGCCACAGTGTGGTTATGTACGCCTGCAACAAAAACGTAGATCTGGCTATCCAACATGACAGACAGCGACCACCCGGGAGCACATTGCCTCAAACCAAATCGGCTCTAATAAGCTACAGAGGTCAAGGAAAAAATGCACCCAGCAGTAGTCTTCGACTGAGCATCTTCACCCCAAACGTCCTCATGATCTCCAAACACTCTGACGGCTCCCTGAACCAGTGGGCAGTCAGCTTTGCCGAGGACTCTGCTTTCTCCACTGTGCTCAGCGTCTCTCACAAGTCACGGTACTGTGGCCACCGCTTCCACCTCAACGACCTGGCCTGCCACTCTTTGCTCCCTCTCCTCCTCACCACCTCGCACCACAACGCCTTGAGGACGCCTGAGGCAGACAGCATCCTGGCTCCCCCCGACACCTACTCCTCTGGTTTCTCTCACCCTGCGTCTCTGCCCCGAGGGTCACGGCCCAGCAGGTCATCCCTGGGTGTAGTTTCCCAGGATCCAAATGCCATCTACAGCGAGCTTATATTATGGAGAGTAGACCCCGTTGGCCCGCTGTCTCTGTCAGGCGGGGTGTCTGAGCTTGCTCGGATCAATTCTCTCCACGCATCAGCGTTTGCTAATGTAGCCTGGCTGCCCACGTTCATCCCCAGCAGCTGTTTAGGTGAGAAAATATAATGTATTGTCTGGAGATTGTTAAAGCAACATTTGATGAAGTACTTGGCAATCAGCCTTTGAATAGACACCGGTATCTTTTTGAGATTTGTTCTTTTGTTTACCAAGTTGTTTTTGTTTCTTACAACAAAGGGAATTATGTTTTGCTGAAATATGCTTTGGGACATAAAATCCATAAAGATATCATTTTTTTCAGATCAGTTTTTGTACCCTCATTTGTGCATTATAAAATGCTTCTTTAAAAACAACTCAATGAAATCCATGAAGGGTTTTACATTTCAAATAATATCCCACTAAAAACATTGTTGCTGGATTGGATATAGTCTTTAGTAGGGGCTTGGACTGTGAGCCGTAGGGTCGCCGCTTCAAGTCCCCGACCAGACCTAAATATGGAGTGTGGACTGCTACTTAGAGAGGTCCCAGTTCACCTCCTGCCCTGCCGTGGTGCCCTTGAGCAAGGCACCGGATAACCCCACAGCTCCCCGGGTGCTGTGCAATAGCTGCCCACTGCTCCTAGTACTAGACTCCTGGTACTAGGATGGGTTAAAAGCAGAGAACACATGTCACTGTGTGCTGTGTGCTCTGCATGTTTGACCATTAAAGAGGGTTTCATCCCTCCCAATTCTATTCTATATACAATATTTGCTTCTTTGTTAAATGAACTGTACCTAATTGTTCTATATTTTAGTTTTTGGTTATTTGTTGAAAACACTGTCTTACTCTCTTTAGGTGTGTACTGTAACTCTCCCAGCGCCTGCTTCGTGGCGAATGACGGCCACTCACTCCGGCTGTATCAGGCTGTTATCGAAGCTAAGAAACTCCTGAGTGAGCTCTCCAATCCTGAGATATCGGTAAGTCCTCAAACAAGTCTCTGCAGCGTATGTTCAGCAAATCAGTATTTCCCCTAGGACCTTTTTTAAAGTGAGGTAATAAAATAAAGCTAATTTGCAGTCTTGTTACCTAAGCAGTGTTAATGTTTGCCGACTTGATTTAATCGTTACACGGGATCACATTTAATAATGTGAGAAATGAGTTGAAGCCCTAAGAATTAATGGTTGATTATTTTATTTTTTTATGATGTATTTATTTAGTGTCGTTTTATATTTGTTTCTTTTTATATGACATATAAACAACTTTTTCTGGGTATTACCATTAACTTGTTATCAAGCACAGCAAGGTTAATAGAAACCTTTCTTAATTTTTTCATTATTCATTTTAATGATTTTTCTCATTTGGCTCCCTATTTGAACATGCCCTAATGATGTGTCAATGTTAATATGTGTTTCTCTTTAGAAATATGTCGGGGAGGTGTTCAACATCATCAGTCAGCAATCCACAGCAAAACCGGGGTGTATTATAGAGCTGGATGCCATTACGGACTTTGTGAGTATACATAAAGAAAAATGGAGTGTAATTAAAGAACCTTACCTTTCTCTCACTCTGATCTGTCTTACAGTAAAGAGACTGTAAACATCTTCATTAAAAGGATATTAATGGAAATTTCCCCTCTGACATAAAGAACATATTAACTCTAATATATGTAAAAGCTATACTTTAATAAAGACCATTGGTAGGATAAAACAGTCTCCAGTAGACTTCTGAATCTCTGTGAAAGGTCAACCATGATAAAAACTGGTTAGGAGGCAGTTTTCCGTCTGTACATGTTTGTCCGTGAATGTGTGTGTGTAACGCTAACACAGCTGAGTGTCAGTTTGCCTGTACATTGTCTGTTTCTGTGAAGCTTAAAGAGCCTGTGACACGAGTTTCCCCCATCATCCAAACCCATCAATTTGAGTAAATATTGTCCCCTTGAAAACCGTTACTGAACTGATTTNTGTTAACCTCTAATAAGAAACAAAGAACTCCTATAAAGGAGAATTAGAAATAATACACAGGCCTACTTTAAAATAAATTGACTCCTCAAGTGCTGTGTTTAATTTATTTTAAAGTAGGCCTGTGTATTATTTCTAATTCTCCTTTATAGGAGTTCTTTGTTTCTTATTAGAGGTTAACAGTTTTATATAATGTAATAAATAGCCTAATAAATGCAAAAAACTGTAGTTTTTGTCTGATATAACAATAAATACAACTTTATTAGCTATCAAGCTATGAAATATGTTTTGCGGCTCCAGACAAAAAAATGTTTTGGAAAAAGGAGCAAAATGGCTCTTTTGGTCAAAAAGGTTGCAGACCCCTGGGCTAAGCAAACAAGATGACCGAAGCATCCCTCTTGATATGTGAGCAAAAAGATGGAGATTTGTGTGTGTTTTTGTGGCTTAACCTAACCAGCATAAATAGCAGTAAACCTAGTACAGCTATGTAAATCGTTTAAACTACAGCTTTTCTTTTAATAACTATGCATAATGATACGCAATTGTACAAATTAACAAACAAAAATGATGCAAGTATATTTTCAAGAAATGAAGGTAGTGGGTAGTGTCCCCATTCACAGGGCTTTAACAAGAATGTGTTGATGCTGGTTTATAAATATATCAACATGCTTCTCACAAAAGCCGGATAGACAGCAACACCCAAGAGTAAATTCGCCAGCATCAATAATTCTGCACTGTGCTAAAAGCTCTTGACAAAGAAGCCCCTGTGGAAATCTATTGAGCCGTTTCAAATCATAAAAAAGGAAGCCACACGTTACAGAAATACTGCAGCCAAGATCTGTTTATGTGAATGTGGTTTCTCCTCTTTTAATAAGCAGTCAAACAATACCCTTGACTAGGAATTATTGGAAAAAAAGACGAGCGTACAATGCTTAAAATGAGCACTTGACTGAAAGCAGGGTTTCTAACTTAGGTAGGCAGGCTGACAAGTGGAACCCGCAGTTGAACGAAACAAGTCTTCTTGCAAATAGTGTGTCTATTTTCCACTTGCCTCCACAGCATCCTTTAGAGAGCCGGCTAGAAGGAAGAAGGCTGCAGAATGCTGGAACCGCTGCTTCCCCAACAGAGAAAAGGCGTTCTTCAGAGCTGCCTTCCTCCACCTGTCCTCACTGAAGTTGTTGCGGAAGAACTCTGTCATTTTGGCATTCCTCTGAGATCTGGAGAGAAAGACATTATGAATTCAAAACAACAATACTTGTGTCATAGATCTTTAGTTATCTGACAGAAACAATCTTGTTTCTAAAGGCAGGGAGAAAAGATTGATTTTATATACAATAATAACAGTTTTTCCTACCTGTACAATCCCCAGACCACTGCCTTTTTCTTCATTGCGAGGTAAAATATAGCTGCATCCAGAGGATCATTGTTTTTCTGTAAAGAAGTCTTGGCAACCTGACAACACAGAGGAAAACACACATTAAGCTCACCCCTTTTTATTTTATAGAAACCTCAGCTAAATGTCATTTTCACCTACCTGATGGCACTTTATTCATAAATGAAGCAATCAATATGCAGTAGATAGAGCTAACACTAATGGCCAACCTTCAAAGCCTTTATGTGACAACTTATTGGATTTGAGCATCTTTAAAAGGATTTTTCACATAGGAGAGAAGAATGCGTCTGATGTACTTGCGTCTAGACAGGGGACAAACGGCAGAGACACCTGACAGATCTCTACTGAGTGCATTCATTAGTTAACTGCTGTCACTGGACGCCTCACCTTCTCTATACACTTGCGTAACTTGTTGGTGCTGCGCAGCCACCAGCCCACGCCCATGGAGCGCAGCTCCGGCCAGGTGGGCTCTCCCTTCTGTAGAGCAGGCAGCATGTTCAGCAGCTCCTCCTCAGCCTCGGAGTGGAAGGCCCAGGCATAGTGACATGTTGATAGGCCTGAAGAGAGAAGGAAACAAATTAAAGAATGGAAAAGGGAGAAGATTCTGTATTTCATAAGTAGAGTATCAACACTGTTTAGTGAGTAAAAGCAGGTGTGCAGTATATATTAAAAGCAGTGAGTTGCATCATCCAGCTGCAATGTTGTGCAAGGGGCCATTGAGAATTGATATCGTAGTGTACATCGATGAAGTGCCTCTTTTTCACCTTTTTTGCTTAGACATTTACTGTCAAAGATCTACAATGGAGACATCAGTAACCTCCTAGGCCTAGCTTTAGAGTTCTTTATAGAAATACCTATGATACCTAGGTGGACAATAGATCTATATCCAAAAGTAGGGTGCAGGGAGACAAATCTTCAGGCAGCAACCTTGAAACTAAAGTTAAGTCGTGCAAAATCGTACAAGGGGAAAATATGATAGAGATTTTAGACAATATTTGCCAATTTTGAGGAACATAAATATAGTTCTTGTTGAATTAGAACATGTATATTTCTATTAGTTTTGCCCTGTACAATGAGTTGAATATAGTGTGTGTCAGCTATGAAATGCCCCCAATGAAAGCTATTTGAAACCCACTTCCCCACGTTACCTTGCCGTAGCAGCTGTGCTCGGTGTGCTGGAGGCAGCGAGGTAGAGAGGAAGGTGTGGAGTCTGACGGCGAGCAGGAACTTCAGACCGCACTCATCCAGCGTCTCACCACCTGGTCAATCAGACAGCTCTTATTACAACCTCTAAACCTATTTACATGATGTTGTGAAGCACTTCTCTTCTGCGGGTCTATCTATTTCAAGAGGCCTTATTGGTTGTATCATTTTCCTGAAGTACCTTTACTCTTGCCTTGGCTGTCCTTGAGGTCTGTGCTTGTGGTGGCGATGGTGTCGGCCAGCGCCATGAGAGACATCTGCTCCATACGGGTCAGTCCGGGCAAACTGGAATGCAGGAGGTGACTGGACAGAACCTGAGCATGCTCTGGACCGAAGAATGTCGGACTGTACTGCGACAGGTCAATAACCTACAGATAGGAAATAAGACAGGACAGTCTGTAAAATGATTTGAATTGCATTTTTTATTTGTTTAATAAAATAGAGAGGGACAGGAAATAAGGATAAAACAGAGAATATGTCATGGCTGAAACTCAAAACAAATGTAATGTATTGAATATACAAGCTTTTCTAAATGTGTAAATCTTTTGGCAATATCTAGAGACCTAGCCATCACAAGGATAGATTTTGTATGCATTAGCTAGGGCTGTCGTGGGCCTTAAGGCAGCAGTATGTATAAAATGAACCTTGACATGCGCAATTATGCATATCTAAGTTTTTTAACTCAAGTACCAAAAGAGCCAAAAATGTTACCGTCCACTCTCATTTTTAAAAATGATTGTAACCAAGCATAAGTCAACAGAAACGGACCTTGTTTCCCGTTTCCTCTTGATCATCTTCCAGAGGGTCCAGATCCACGATGCTGGGCGCTTGAAAGAGCTCATCATAGACATCAGCGTGACTAGAACCGTGCCCACTGTCTCCACTCACACTGCTCACTTTGTCTGTAGGTGGACACAAGACGGAGATAAATTACACAAGATATGCATTTCATAAGAGTAGATTGTCATAAAATAGCAAAGAGCAGGACTCTCACCAAAGAGTGGGATATTATTCTCTGTCTCTTACACTTTGAGGATAATTATTATTATTAAACCACAAGTTGAACCCTCACCAGGTTTAGGTGACGTGTCCTCATCATCGGCTGCCAGCAGGGCGTAGAGAGGCAGCGGAGGGATGGAGCTTATCTCTGTGTAGTCAGGGGGGGAGTTCTCTGCTTTGCTGAACAGTTTGGAGTCTCTGGCCGTGCTGCCTCCGGCGCTGATGGTTCGAGAGCGCAGGCGTTTCTCAGGGTTGGTCGTACTGTCTTTAAGAGCCACAATTTCTCCAGCAATGCATTTCACCAGATGGGACAGGATGGCTTTGGCACGGTGAACCTTAGATAGACAGATGATGTGACAATATATATTTAAAATTATAATTCACAACAAACGGTGAACATCTGAATTTTTCATTATTTTGTAAAATGTTTAAGTTTGTGTTATTTCTGCTTCACACTTTATGAATTGTAATAAACTAATAGAACTGAGCCGAGTGATTTTATGGAAGGAAATCATCAAAAGAAAATATAAGACATTAGTTAAGTAATTTATCGAACGTACCCTCCCGAGATCCATGAGCTCCAGCAGCTGTACAGGGTGGTACTGGGGCAGAGTGGGAAAGAGTTGGTGAGCTGCTTCAAAAAGCCCAGAATCTTCCTTCTCCAGCGGCAGGTCGTAAGCTGTTCTCTTCCCACTGAGTTTCTGAGCAAGACTCATCATGGATCTCGTCAGGGCCCTTTTTGGAGGGGCCAGTGTAGACATGGGGGCCCCAGAGCTGAGCCCCTCCTCCTGGCTCTGTCTGACAGCAGAGATGATGGAGGAGACGCTGCTGCTCATGTCTGTGTCCTGGGCAACGCTGGCTTTCAATGGGGCCGGGGGCTGCCACTGGGAGTAGACGTGCATCTCACAGTCCATGCCTACTACCAAAATGCCATCTCTCACCCAGGAGAGGGACACAGGAATGGGTAAGGAGCCTTCCACAGAGGAGACCAGATTGACTGAGCGCAGCAGAACCAGGCGGGACGAGCTCAGGTCTCTACTGGCCTCTGATGACAAACCCAGTTCTGGAGGTTTCCCAGAGAGACGGCCGTACATATAAATCTTCGTGCCGATACCAACAGTGAGGACATGTGACCCGTCTTCTTGCGAGACCCAGTCCAAATGAACCAGACTCGCACTACTAGAGGCAGGACAGTACTGGTTAGGTATAGGACAGTCCATGGCACCTGGGATATTGGCACTTTCTGTGCTGTCCAGGACTATGGTCTGCTCTAGAATCCACTGTGAGCCACCAGTGGACTCGCACTGAAAGATGCTGATGTGGACCAGTGGCTCATTGGTGTTTGCTTGGTTGGGGCTGGGGGTGAGATTTGGGCTGTGCTGTACAGTCACAGTTGGGGTCATGTGGGTGTTGGTACTGTTTATAAAAGGGGAGGAGGCCAGAGTAGGAGGACAAGTCAAAAGTGCCTGAGAGTTCAGGTAAGGTGTTGAGTTGAGAGGGGAGTTTGGTGTCTGCCTGTAGGCGACTGCAATCCGTCCCGAGTGGCAGCAACTCACCTCTATGGGATGACCTTGCACGCTCACTGCGCTGCTGTTAGGAAGCATTCCCTCCACCAGCAGAGGCCACTCTTCCCACTGGTACAGCAGGTTGTCCATACTTGAAGGCTCCATGACTGTACACCTCCAGAAACGCACCTTTCCATCTGAACAGGAAGTAGCGAGCAGGTAAGGCAGACGATCAGCTGGCAGAGAGCATGATGCGCTCAGGTGACCTGCAAAGAAGAAGATTGTTATTCTGCATGAAGTTTTAATTACAAAATGTAATTTGCTTTCAGACTATAACTTCTGTGAACTTCTTTGAAGTTTTTCAGTTTCAAAAAGGTTTAGTTAGGCTATAGGCTGTGCAGATAGCAACATTAAAACAGTTTATAAACTGTCTAAATGTATATAGGACTGAGGCGATTGCATGGTTAGAAAAAGCCTGTGTATTGGATATTTTGTGGGCTTTCTCGACTTCTCTACAGAGTTGAAAATCATCATTCATGTGAAGTTAACTTTCTAAAAAAAATCCAAGCCCTGTATAAACTGCTGAAAAATATCTCCATGTTTGTCAGTATGAAAAATATTTAATAGTTACAAAAATCAGAATAAACCTCTTTCTGGATCAATAGCTCTTTCTTAGTCAGAATGTCAATATGTTTGCGAGAAGGTTATTCAGGTCAATGTTTTCAATCACTTTCTAACTTAAGGCCAATTTCTTTAGAAATGAAGTTCCCCTGGCAACAACAAATGTGCACCTTACTCAATACTGGTGTCTGTAAATGCCTAAAAAAGCTGCTAAGTGTCCACATCTGTGCTCGGCTATTATACTGGCTTAACTGCATCTTGTTTTATTTATTACAAATGATCACAATACTGCAACTACCATAAATAATAATCACTGTGGTTCTACATTTTGTCATACTTAAAAAGCATCGTGTTGTGCTCAGGGTCTGTGTGCTCGAAACTGCATGTCACTACAAGGTGCTGTTCACAGACTTTTGTATTACGTGCACGAGTGCGTGTCCTCATTGTCCCTCACCTGCTGAAGGAGTCACACTGATGGCCTCCACCCCTTCTGGCAGAGCCATCTCTTGGCTGTAGAGCCTGTGTGTTGTGAGGCTGAGGCGACAGGCACTCTGCAGATTTGAAGTGCAGGGTTTACTCTTCTGAGGTACTGGAGAACCAAACGTGTCAAAGCTAAACGTAGAGCTGTTCATATCAGAAGCTGAGCTGGCATCGTTCTTCGTCGAGGTCTCTTCTGTGGGGAAAAGGAATTCATCGATTTACTTTACTTTTTAACAGACACGGCATTAGAGTTATTATTTTCATTTGAATATAAATTGTAGGATGTTCATAAACTATTACAAATGAAGCATGGTCAGTCCAAAAATAACAATTAAAAACTTTACAACTTCACATTAGTGGGACACTGCCTGATAATGTACAATATCAATTTGTCAGGCTTCCAGTTTTTTGAGAAAAATGGTTGTTTAGCCTGTCTTACTTATTTGACAGTGAGAAGAACATTTTCCCATACCCTGTAGAGTATTTTGTTTAAAGTACCCACCCGTGGTGATGGGTCGGGCAGCGAGATGAAGATGCCACATGTGGAGGAGTGAGCGACCTGTCGGGGTCAATTCAACCACAACAAGGAAGAAACGTGCGGAGAAGGCTGTGTCGCTTGAGGCTGCAGGGGAAACAGAGAGAATATGAATGAACAGTGCGACTGTGAATGTGTTTGAAGGTGGTGCAAATACTAAATCTTTATGATAGACATTTTTAAGTGGAAAAACACTATTCTGTCTTTACCAGTGTGAGGGGAATCAGGGGTTTCCTGTGTGTCCTCCGTTCTCTCACTGCCGAGTATCAGATCCTCCTCAAACACATGAAGAAGCTGGGTCTGCTTCCCCTGCTGTAAAGAATAACAGTAGATATTATTAAAGAGCCTGTGACAGCCTCCCAACAACTGTTGTGCAATGAAATATTGGGCTACTAGTCATCTCGAACCGTCAGTTTAAAAAAGAAGAAACCGAGAGAGCGGCGTGTCACTTCGCAAGGGCGTAACTGCAGTGAAGGCCCGAAGGGGTTTTGGAACGTTTTACTTCAGCTTCCTTAAAGGTGGGGTAGGTAATTTTGGAGAAACCGGCTCGAGTGCGCTAGAATTTGAAAATACACAGCCGGAAAAAATCTGCCACTTCCTTACAGAGCCCCTCCTCCAACACACACGAACGCGCACAGGACCAATGAGGGCACGAGATTAAGTTTGTTCACAGATGGAAAGCTGACAGGCAGGTAGGCCATCCAGTTATTTTAGCCGGGCCGGCTAAAATGACTGGTCGTGCTTTTTACAGCGCTACGGCTTCCAGAGATGACATTTTTGCACTTAAGATATTCATTGCTATCGGGATGTCAAGAGCATTCCATGGAATATAACAAAGTGTATCTCGAGCCGGTTTCTCAAACTTACCTACCCCACCTTTAATGGCATACCTGATTCAACAAAATTGTGAATCAGTCGGGATGAAATGTTTTTGTTCTTCCGTTTGCTTTAATGACCACACAATAGGGGATTGTTTTAGGCAAGCGCAGTTCACAGGGCCAGAGGAATAATATTTATCTGATTTGTCCATCCAAAATAAAGTACATCTAACTGCAAAGCATTAAAAGCTCAGCTCTGAATCGTGAATGGGTGGGCTAAACCATCTAGCTGGTATTGTTTTGATATCAGTAGAAATTGTACCAAAGAGGAAGTTATGTCCAAAAGCATAATAACTCATAAGCACCATACTTCTCAAACTTGACAAAGCAGGCCTTCCTGCTTTACAGGAAGGCTTACAGTCACATATTTTATGATTCCTTCTAGCTACTAAGTAACAATGCTGTGATGAATAACATTTGGAGCATTCCAGGATTACTATATCTGCATACATTTGACAAATTAGTCAATAAATATATTATAAGTAGTATTCATTATTCCCAGCCCATCAATTCAAATGGATTTATTTTTTAATTGGGGATAGTGGCAGCCTTGTTTATAGCAGCAGACAGGCCTGATTCTATTCTAACGAAATAGAAAAAATGCTCACCCAATACTTCACTACTCTCCTCATGTGATGTTTAATCCAATTCAGTTGGGCCAGAAGTAACCTCACATGCCTCCAGCATGGTCCAGCATCTCTTTAAGCATGCTCAGTTGGTATGTTTACCAGTTCCACCTCACTGCCCCTCTCCACGCTGTGATATTTGCAATGCTATTAGTTTAACCAGCATTGTTGCGCACACCCCTACTATCACACTGTGTGGTAGCACTTCAGATCCCTATTGTACGCTTTAATGACCCCACTGCAATAAAACATGTATCATCATAATGAAGAAAAATACATTGTATTGTATCACCTCTACATTCATTTATTTAAAAAGAGTCTAAGCTTGGTCACACAAATCTTTCCCAATACAAACGTGATGGGTAATCATACAAAAGAGTAGTTGTGACCAAATAAAGGTGACTTTATTTTTTATAATTTTTTTTTTCTTTTTGCTGCTCAATTGCAGAACTATGTTGAGTTTTTTTTCTCCACTGAAATTGGATTGTAACGTATCCTGAAGAAATAGTTACCTTCTGTATCATTATGCCATGAGCCATTGTCTGTCTCTATGAGACTACTTTGTGCGTGTGATGGCTTGTTTGTGTGTGCCTGTGTCAATTAAGACATGCACCTTTACCCGTGTGAGTGTCTCACTCCTTCACAGTCCTCATTCTGTGACATCCAGCACATTATTTACCTCAATAGAGACATGGCCCGACCTTATTATGCCCACTGCAACAGAAATGTCACCCATTCAGTCGAACATTGTGACTGTTGCTTCCATGGAAAGACCTTGAGCAGTGCATGAATGTGAGGTGTGCTTTTGTTAAACAAGATGTTGACTTAACACTAGGTATTTATGTCCTCAAGGCATTTTTGGTTTGTTTTCCAGTAGGGCTGCTCGATTATGTCAAAAATACTATGTCTATACAAGCTAATGTTCTTTAGTTAGTCTTCCTAATTAGGATCTTGAATAAGAATGTGCACTGACCAAATCTTCATTGTATTTAAATTGTTTTACTTTTACGTAAACATGCCGTTAAAATCTTCCAATGAGATACATTTTTTAAAATGTTTTAAGCTTTTCAGATTGTAATTTACAAGAATATTAGTAATGTATAAAGTGTAGTATTATTTGATTTTGGAAAATGTGTATTCAGTGAAATTGTTCATTCTGTATCAGAAACGCATGTCTTAAAATACAACATGTTTCCTTTTATTTATTCTTCTGATAGATTGCAGCTTCCTATGGAAGCATCGTGTGTGTCTTTGAGCCCGTTCAGCCCCCAGATCAGAAGGACACATCGCCGCCTGTGAGTAGCCTGCTTTATCTTTCAGTCACAATGTAGTCATGCATGCAATCACATTCTCCTGAAAAAGAGACCTTTTCTTTCAGACAACACTTTATTTCAAATAAAGCAGTATATTGTTCCTTCAAACCCAATGGAAATCACCAGGGAAAAACATATTTCAAAGAACCATCCTCACAGAAATATTTCAAGAAGTTCTGCAGCCCTTTTGTTCTTTGTTGATTTTCTACAGTTAGTGCAGGAGTCCTATGTTTGCTACATCATTGTTAAACCACCTTCTGTTCTTAGAGAAGTCAAAATATAGTCATGAAGAATGGAAATATTTTACATATCTTAAAGAAGCCAGTTCCTCTTTTATGGCAGAAGGTTTCCTGGTGGTACAGCTGCTGTCCATGTGGTCTGATCACATGTTGCTCACATGAGAGCAGCTTCACTGTTGGTGTATGCACTTTTGCTACTGATATAAGGGGCAAAATAACATGTTTCATAATCTACCAAACGTTAAACAATCATGTTGTTTTTTAACATTGTCTTATTCTTTGTGTACAGAAGTTGAACTGCCAGTGGCAGAAGACTGGTCAATTTGTGTTGAAGTCTATGGTACGGAACCTGGCCTGGCACCCCACAGGTACTTTGACAGGAAAATACTGAATATTATACTCCCTCAAATAAGTGTTGGTATTGTTATCCCAGTATGTCAAACCTTCTTGCTATATATGCCTTTTTATATTTTATTTTGTATAAATGATATGATGGAGCATGTCAGTCCTCACAGTGAACGTGTTTTTGTGTTTCCAGGCAGCACCCTCCTAACAGGCTCGAGTAGCCTCCAGTTGTGGTCTCATATAGATGAAGTGAACGATGAAGCTGAAGAAGAAGGAGGAAGGCAGAAAGAGATGACCATAGGAGACTTTCTTTCAGCCTGGAGGTGCATCTGGGAGAGCAAGTAAGAACAAACTCTGAACATGATGCCGCCTATCTCCTTAAAGAGGCTATGTTGCTTCCCTTTTTCTAAGGAAATAAAAAAAGGTGTTTCCCCCTATGTATGTGCTTAGTAAAAAAAAAAAGACATTTGTTTTGTGGTATTATTTAATACTCTAATACATCTAACCTTAGATGTACTTGTTTTGTAATTGAATGAATTTCAAATAGTTTTTGTGTGTATTCAACATAATTTAGATAATATTGATAATACTGTGTTTTTTTTTTCTTTTTCTGTAGGACAGCCTCTCCAGTGAGTTTAATGAAGTTCTCTCCTGATGGGGAATTCTTTGCTACTGCTGGACAGGTAAGTCAAGCTTTCATGAGTTCTTTAATATCCTACACATTACAGAAGAGCAGTATTATAGTGATATATAGATTAGGATGCTATTGTGTCCAAGTCATATTTTCATATTGATTCGTTAACTAACCTTTACAGGGGTTTTCTTTTTAAGTTTTCAACCTAATAGCTTTAACTTCTAATGGCACACTCAACAACATGGTATCAATCATTTCCCTGTTTCCCTCTCCTCTTCAGGATGACTGCCTGGTAAAGGTCTGGTACAGCACCGGTAAGTGGAAGTTGGGTGTTTCCAGACTCTTCACACCTCCAGAGTCCAGTGACAGTTTCCAGGCAGAGCTGGCCTTCTCCTTTGTGTACCTGGCCCACCCCCGCTCTGTAACAGGCTTCTCCTGGAGGAAGACCAGCAAGTACATGCCACGGTATGGACCCTCGATTATCCAAACTGGCCTTTGTCTCGCTTTGGATTGATAATTATGCATGTTGTTGCCTATATTTATTGTTTGTTTATTTGTTATATGGTGCTCTACTACATTTACTTTCCTACATACTTGCCATTTATCTCTACTAGTTTATCTTTACCTAAGCTTTCACAACTGAACACTTCTAAAAAAGCAGATAACATGAGCCTCTATTACCAGTGGAACAGGAAATATCTATTTTAGTTTATTTAACCCAACAGGATTAAGTATTTTGTGGGCTGAATGTGAATGAAGTAGCTGTTATAAGGAGCCGATTTAAAATAGGTCACCCACAGTGCTGTATTAAAGTCTCACATTACTCTTTGTTACAGCACTGCTAATCTTATGTGACCTGTAAATGTTCTCTAGTGAAATTATAATGCGACACAGTTCACAGCAGGTTTAGCTTGCAGCACTATTACTTTGTAAATGACTATAAAGAGATTATCCTTACTCTACCTATGTTATCAGAGAATGACCACAGACGGCAAGACTGTAATGATCATGCAGACTTTCCAGTAAGCTTCTTTGTGCTATTAGGCTTCAGGAAGTACAGAAGTGGTGATCCGGATTGTACCGCTGGGTTAAAGGCCTGTCATTGGTTGCAATAATAAAACCGTGTCTATAATTCTATTTTAGGCAGCTTGTCCTTTTTGTTTTAATTGACTTAACTTTTGCCTTTTCAAATAAACAAGTGTAACATGTCTGTTATCAGAAGGGATTAGATGTAATCACATTTTTGTCATTACTACTTCTTTCTACCCTTCCTTTCTACCACTCTTCACTTTTTGACCTTACTTATCGCTCTAATGGTGCTTCTTCTTTAACCTGCTGTTGAGTACAGCAATAAGCATTTGTTTATAAAAGTTATTTCTGACGGGTTCAATCCCCTCTTCTAAACCCTTTTCCATTATCTTTCCTTTACCCCGTCCCCTTCCCTTCTCTCTCCTACCAGAGGTGCAGTGTGTACTGTTCTGCTCACCTGCTGTAAGGACAGCGTGTGTCGGCTCTGGGCAGAGACGCTGTTGCCGGGTGACAGCCTCCTCTCAGGTTACCACAGCAACCACACTTCTGGCCAACACAATGACACACCCAGATCTGCTGGCCCTTCTTGGAAAAACGCCTGCAATGGGAAGTCGCAAGGAAAAATGGCACAGGGAGTAAGTTAATACAAACAAAACTCTTACCATCATTGTTTGAAACAACTAGCTAAAACAAATGCAGTCTTATAGAGCTGTCAAGCAATTCTACTTTCAATTTTGACAGAAGTTTACATATAAGTATATGGTCTTTTTTGAGGCTTTAGTTTGCAGCATAATTGAATTGTTTTATACTGAATGCTGTTCATAATATTTTGTCTGCCCTTATGGCATACATGCAGTGGACAAAGCATTAGAGACAAAAATAATCAGAAGTTTTATATTGAGAATATCAACATAATTTTACTAAAAGTGGGAAAATAAAAGGCAAACATGTTTTGCCCTATTTAGCTCTTACGAATAAGTTAGACTTAGTAAGGAAATAGAAAAAAATGATGAAGAGGCTCGTGGAGTTTGAAGGGAATTTGCTATCTGACATGAATATGCTTTTAATGCTTTGTGCGGCTTCAGAAAAGCATCAGTGAAAGATATTGGCTGTTTCTGTAATCTAGGCACTTAAAAAACATTTTTGATCGTTGTTTTTTTTTTCATTCAGCTACTGCTAACTCACATCTGTTGTGGTGGTGTTTTCTGCTTTAAGTGACCTAGAATGTTGCTGTAAGCCTAGCTAGGACTCACACACACACACAAAACTGGCACCCATTTTGATATGGTGATTAAACATCTATTGGTCTCACTTGCAAAAACAGAGTTCACGGCACATTAGATTAAAGTCAAATTGGTATGTAAATGTCTCCACTGTGCCTCGAGGAGAGTCTGTAAGGGTACATGTCTGGAATTATTCATTAAAATCACAGACTGAGCCAGATAACCAGGCAGTAGTACGAAGTAACGCTCTCCCAAAAACTGAATACAAGAGAACAATTTTTGTATTTTGCCTCACTGGGGATTTCATGCAAAATCTATGAAGAGGAGCGAGCCGATTAGTTTGTTTGCGAGTCCCCACAGAATGCAGTGATGTGGGGACTTCACCACAATCTCATCTCCCAATAATCATATTAAATGATTTTAAGATTTCGGCACATATTTTACTTTTGACAAGTATATCCTTTTCAAAATGGAGAATGCAATTTGGATTAATTGTTCGGCCCTTGTTGATACCCTATCTTAAGCATTCATAAAGTGTCATGCCTAAAACTATAGATACTTGTATTCAATATTCAGACAAAAGAAAATAAAACATTTAAATGAATTGTTGCTTCCTTTTACCTGCTGCTCTCTCACTAAGATACTCTTTCATGCTGCCTGTTTCACTCACGCTCTGACTTGTTTATACAAATAGGGCACTTAACTTAAATGTCGTTCAAGGGTCTATAACATTAAATTCCATTCCCATTCCAAAGAGCAAGCACAAAGTATTGGGGCTCAACTCAGGCTGAGAGGAGAGCAGTGAAGCCCTTTTAGTTTACACACATTGATAATTCACAACAGGTTTAACCTACATCGCTAAAGCCTGGATAGGGGAGGTGTTGCCCATCTTTGCCCACCGTATAAAACACTTGTTGCTTTGAAAGGTTTATTCAAGAAATTGAAATCTCTGTGGAGATGCATGCAATATCTCATTGTCTTTGTGATTGTACATACCTTTTTTATAAGATGGAAAAGCACACTGAACTACGCAAGGCAGCATACATTCATAGGATAAAGATTTAATATCTGTCTACTAGTGTTAATTTCCTTGACTAAAACTATGACGAAATATGTTCGTCAACGACCTTTTTTTCCATGACGAAAACGAGACGATGACGAGACGGCACCAACGGCAGTAAACAATAACTCATGAAATCATCATGCAATATCGTTGACGAAAAGTGACGAGACGAAAATGTAGTTTACTAAATAAAAACTATGCCAAAATCTCTCTTTACTTTCGTTGACGAAAAATGAGGAGACTAAATATTATCAAAGATAACGTTACATCTCTGATAGTCCGCTTTTCTCCCAGCAGTTCCATTTCCAGTGCTGCGGCTGGGCAGCAGCTGTTTGTCTGTGCTGCGTGCGGCGGTACATTTGAATTACACCGGGCAGCGGCACAATATGAATTGTCAGGAAGACTCGGGTCTAACTCATGGTCTAACTCATGGTCTAACTCATGGTCTAACTCATGGTCTAACTAACCTTATTCAACAGAAAATAAAATGGCAACAACAGGGCTTGGGAGCAGTGGTCGCACTCGCGTTAACCGAATNTACATCATCAAGTGGCGCAGCAGGACCGTTCCAATGTCCAGCATACTTGGGTGCAGCATCGAAATTTCCCCCAAACCAAGGACGCGGCCTCGGTGGAATTCCAAGTATGCTGGACATTGGAACGGTCCTGCTGCGCCACTTGATGATGTAGCATCCTTGTAATATTGGCTTGGAAGCCAATATCCTCGCGATTGAGAAACGGCCAGAGTCCTAAAACCTTCAGTAAACAAAGACTTACTGCAATTTTAAACAAATATTGGTAAAAAAAAGTAAGGATTAAGCTAACACAGGCCTGTCTGACATATGGTGGAGGGAGTAACACAAAACATCTTGCAACTTGCCAAATGTCTTGGTCTAAAGTTTTTATATATATATATATATATATATTATGGGTTTATAAAGGTTGGACATTTTTTTGTTCACATGCCGAATGGCTAATGATTATTATATTGGGATTTTCTTGGTTGCTTCGTCATGCAAAGCCACTAGTATCCGAATATACACACAGAAATAAAATTTTCTGGTTATTGTTTTTAGGCTGTCATCTACTACCCTGGACAGGCTCCAGTATGTCCAAAACTGTGCTGCTAGGGTACTCACAAATACAAAGCCATGGCAGCACATCACTCCTTGTAAAGCGACCTTGGGTCCCATGAAAGGCGCTATATAAATCTAAGCTATTATTATTATTATTATTATTATTATTATTATTATTATTATTACTACTTCTTGAGGGTTTAGGCTTACTTTTTTTTTTTTTAAATATATTCATGGCAAACGGATCACAACTTTTGTTTCATTCTTAGTCAATAGGGCAACACTACCCTTAGCAAAGCCATTTTGCTAGCAAGGATTTTTATTTTTATAAATACTGTACTTTTGTTCGGCCTACTACATTTATATTTAAAACAACTCAATGAACAGAACTCTCTGATAATTCTGCCACATCCTCAGCATTTGAGCTCCGAAATGTCTGGAAGGGAAATATTTCCAGAGCTTGAAATATCTTACCGTGAATGGCACATTGTTGACATTGCCAACAGAGAAACAATTGTCTCCAGGGTTGACAGCCCCAGTGAGGACCTGATGGAGATTCATGACTCTTGTTTATAATCCCCTTGTGTTCCTTCCTCCTCTTGCCCTTTTCACAACACCCTCCCACTCCAGGTGAGGTTCATGGGAAACCATGGAAAGGATGTGTTCATTTTCGTCTGTATCCAGAGAACTCCCGTCTCTATAGGTCTGCTGAAAAATTAAAGAGATTTATAAACAGATAATGGTTTGCTTCAGTTAAGATCAAGCATATAGCATAATTCATACTCATGTTTATTGACAACAAAATGATTTGTCATATACTGTAATCTCAGGGGGCATGGTTTCTTTGAGCAGTGTGGCATCAGTTTGTAATTGTTTTATATTATCATAAATGTAATTTGTATTACAAGTTAAACACAGGTACTAAAGTAGGTTGAGTTGACCAACACAGGTTTGACAGCATTTCATTTCTGTATGCTGGCAACAAAGCTCATAGACACAAAGAGGCCATTATTAAAAGGGTGCAAGTAAGGTGTCACCAAGCCAAGTGGGTCACCACTGTGCAGACTTGTACACACCTAGCTGCAACTCTGCAAGGCCTATTACTGCCCTGTGTTTTACAACTTGTTTAACAGTGTTTGTTCAAAAATCTTTGCTTTAGGCTCCGATAGGATTAACGAAAAAGTAACACGAAATTAATTAATCCAAATGACGCCTCCTCAAGCTTTACTGAATATATATATCTTACTGTTGGGGTGTCAACTACATAAATGAATATAATTTCAACTTTACATGATAAAATAATATATTTCCCAAGTACCAAGTTAGAAATCCTTACATTTCAACGTTTTATCTGTACCATTATCACAAAGTACAGTAATTTAAGGCTTTTTTTATAACTGCAGAAAATGTTAGTGAGCCTGTGCTGTGGCGACTCACGTGATACGGATTCACACGGCAGCACATTAAACAGAGCAAATTACACCACATCTGACCAACACCGTGATCCGTATTGATAAAACATATACTTGGTTAAGTGTCTCGATGATTTTAAGCAAACATTTCATACATTGGATCCCCTTTTTAAGTCTTCGAATCATGACGCTAACTTAGCTGTCAAGTTAAGCTAGCCACCTGCAGTTAATAACATAAACACCGTAACATGAGCAGTGTTAGAGACAGAAATGCACTACTTACTTTGAGCAGTTACTTTATAACAGCTACTGGCGATATCACGTATCGCTTCCAGCTGCTGTTGTTGATAAAACTGGCTCTCCAACGTTAAATGTTACATATTCGGTCCCCTCGGTTAGCTAGCGTTAGCGCGTACGTTGTTAGCTCCCGAGCTAGAAAGCTAGCTGTAGGTCACCTAACGCACACATTCAGTGCCTGACATTTCCTGCGAGCCAAGACAATAAGCTTTTAAATTACTTCTCAAAATGATAACCATAAGAAGGAGCAAACCTCTCCCCAAGGTTAACAAATAAAACGTTTCCAAGGAAGTAGCTTTTCCTTATGTTGAAGATGTGTCATGACTGTTTCGCTGCAATGCATTGTGGTCTTTGTAGTTGCATTTTCACCAAAAGCAGCGCGAGATCTGCAAAGCATTCACCTGCTTCAGTAAAAATAAATTACGTAGGCCTAATAAAAGGTTACCATTTGTTTTCGGTGTTGTTATTTTCGTCCTATGTTATGACCTTTAAAGATTGTGATGTTAGTGAACAGCTTCTCTGTTCGGGCGTTATTGGAATTTGTTTAAACTATTTGAATGAACACATTGCTCAA